ATATGCCCTGCGGACCAGGGCCCGGTTGACGGATGACTTTATCTTGGGGTGGTGGAAGGACGTATTGTGGAGATACCTGTCCGTGTGGGTGGGCTTGCGGTAGACAGTGCGTGCTAGGCTGCCGTTCTCCTTTCTGGTCACTTCAACATCAAGAAACGAAATGTTGCCATTACGTTCTTGTTCCATGGTGAATTGGATGCTGCTGTGAAGCCCGTTGAGGTGTTCCAGAAAGAGTTGGAAGTTGTCCTGCCCGTGTTGCCAGATGACGAAAGTATCGTCCACATGAAGTTTAATATTGAAACCGAGGTCTTCCTGTCATTATAAAATTGCCGGGAAAATTTTGAAATTCACAGTATATATCCCCAGTTTGACATATGCTGTACACGCATGAACCACATGAACATGTACACAGGCTCCGTCGAAAATTTCCATGTACTGTACATGTCTGTATGCACGTGTACGCCGCGGTATGCGTGTAACATAACATGCCGTAGTGCATGTGACGGTCCACGGTACGTGGATGGATCGGTTTCGTGCATGTAAAACACGTACAGATCGCGCTGCGCAGAAGCATTGAATATAACTCATGAAAGTCGAACAAAAAAATCTAGCTACATAAAACTGATTGTATTGTGTACTTGAGATTCTGGCCTGTCGTATGCATTGTCCCACTGTTCTGGGAAAATTTCTAAAATTGAGAAATTTAGAGGAAAAAGACCAAGTGATCGATTGAAAATGGAAATAATTTATCATCTTAGCAACCACTCTGAGCCGGGCTAAATTTCATATTTATGTAGAATTTCTTTTCATGAACCTGTAGAGTGTTATTCGGTTTAAGCCTTCTAAAGCACATATAAAGAGTTTCAATGTGATCGTTTCTTAACTTTGTGCAAACGAAGTCTTCAAAACGAGAAGGCTCAACAGAGGATTGGCAAGTTGTTTCCGTATGGTTCACGAGGGTCCGGTCAAGTAACTGCCGCGCACGGTCGAAGTCGTTAATTTCCACACGTTGAATGGGGTGAAACATACGTGACAGATGGAGATGGATTAGTAGCAAACATTACAAACATTATAATCTCCATTATAAATTCCCTCTATTTTTCTTCCCAAAAAACTCCCCCGGAGACCGGGCAAACGAAAATTAGAAAGGGCCAATCAACAATTCCGTCTGCTCGTCCTCTTTCTTTTAGTTTTTCTTCTCTGTGTCCCACGGTTTTGCAGAAGATGTCTGATTTCCCCGTTTGTTTACTTAATGAGATTGTCACTGCTGCGTTCAGTTGCAACAAACAAACTGTATTACCCTTCTCCAGAAAAACAAGAAAGCGTATTCAATTTTTTGAATTGGTTTTTCTGTTTGGGATAGATTTTATTCGTTTTAAGCCATTTTAAAATTATATTTAATGATATTAAAGGATGCAATCCACCAAATGGTTGTATTTCTGCGAGCAAGGTCGTTAATATTTTGTGATTCCACGGTTTGTTTGTTTTTTTTACAATAAAACAGGCCATAATCAGGAGGCATCACATAAATATTTCTACAAATCTCGAATTTAGGACTGATAGTTTCCAGTTCAGGGTATTTCTTTCACAAAAAGCCCGAAATTGTGGACCTATTTTGGATAGATGCGGGCGGCTACATTCATAAATGAGCACTTAGTTTTATTACTAACGAAAAGTGGTCTTCTGGCCATAATCTTGAATTTCAAGTGAAAAAACGGAGGCCAACCTCTTCACGAGAGTCAACAGGCTGCGCTTTGTCGGTCCGATTTTGCACTGCTTTCTATGGGTGTGTATTGGGTGAAGTACATTATGGAAAACGATGCCTTGGGTGAGTACCATAGACACAAGTAACCCCTGTGGTGAGTACCAAAAAACCTGCCCTCTTTTGTTCCGCTTGGAGCACGTATGATTCAGTTTAGTTTGTGCGCATGCGCGCCAAATTGTTTCGTGCGCGTGCGAACTGAAGATGACTGCCCAGTGATCGTGGTTTTAAGCTCAGAATGTATCGGGTTTCATCATCTCTGAATTGATGTTTTTTCTTTGCAACTGGTTTGAATTTCAGACCTTCCAATCTAATTTGTGAAATATAATTTCAAAACGACCAATATCTCCCACCTTTTTTGGGATTTGATCGGTGACGTCTACTGAGAATGTAGTATTAAGGAAAGTGCCGATTCCAACAACAAATTTCCATTGGGTTCCTACCAAACTGCCCCCCAAAACCAACAATTTCCCAAAATACGCCAAAATTATCAAAATTCTGAAAAAAATTCCTAAAATCTGCCTACTTGCCAGTCGGTTCGCCAAACACCAAAAATTTACCAAAATGCGCCAAAATTCCCACAAATTCAGAAAATTTTCCGAAGATTCCTTATTTCCAAAATGGACTGTGTTTTGCAAGTCAGTTTGAATACGGCATATTATTGATTAACTGTTTATGGCAGCGAAACTTGAAATAAATTTAGCGCCTCCACTCTGAAGAGCTGAAGCGCCAATAAAAATGATATACATTCAGCATTATTTTAAAAGTATTTAATACAAATA